TTTCCTAGCATCATCACATTGTGGTTTCCAAAACATAGCCGACACTCATACAAATTATTAATTATGGATGGCTCCTACAAATTCCTTTCGAACTTGGGTTAATTAATTATGGGTCATTAGGTGGCCATATTGTCTGGCTTATGATGCCCCACGGTTGCAACCATTAATTAGTGGGAGCATTATGGCTACCCTATAATATCATCATATATTGCCCACCTGGAATGCCTCCATCTGTTGCTCGACAATTAGACATCAATGGGTCAAACCATTAATAATTTATTTCCATCACAACTATGATTTTTTTTATTATTATTATTCATGATTACGAGTTTTCATAAAAAAAATTATAATGATTCACAATACGAGTATTTGTCTTTCAATAAAATCTATTTCATATTCTAAATTAAGATTTAAACTATAAACAACTTAGTTAAAAAATATAAATTGTAATTACTTGAGTCAATCAATATTCTTCTTGATATGTGAATATGGTCCGTATTTGAATATTTTCTTTGCTCAATTATACGAATCTTATCTTTCATTACATAGTTTATTGTTCATTGGCTTACAGTACATAGCAAGCAAAAGCAACCCCACCTTGTATTAATTAATTAATGTACCTTTGATTTGCCTATATAAAGGACCTTTCTTCATCTTTCAAAGCCATCCTAGCCTGCATCTTCTATTGCTCTATAATTGCTTCTAGTTCTCTTTGTTTAACAATTTTCATAAACAAAAGGAAAAAGGTCACTCCTTTTTTTGCATTGTAACATGTCTTCCTCAGAGGGTGTGTTTGAATTAGGATTTGAGTTCTCGGACCAATTGTGCAAACATGCCTCGTACTCTTTCTAAAGCAAATCCACTCGGCCTCAAATCTAAAGCTAAAAAGGCTTCCCTCCCGAGTGACCCCACTCGGCCAAGGATGTGCCTCGGATCTAAGCTAAAAAGGCTTCCCTCTCGAGTGACCCCACTCGGCCAAGGATGTGCCTCGGATCTAAGCTAAAAAGGCTTCCCTCTCGAGTG